ACTGTGTGACCATAATACTAGTGCTGAAACAGAACACTGGTGTGAATGCTGAAGATAGAATCAAACTTGTTTCCTCCACCAATCCTGTTATATCATTGCCCTACTCCCTGCCACCCAAAATTAACATTATTTTAAATTTCATACCAAAGAATATTGATAATAAAACTCACGCATCTCTTAAGTTCTTCTCTAGATAATCCTGGTTATTAGTGTGCTGCATGGCTGGAAAAAGAGAGGGTTTTTTTTTTGGCAAAAGATGAAATTTTTCAAACCAAAATCCTCTTATAATTCAAATCTATATTTATTCACTCATAAATTTCCAGATCTGTTTTTGTTTACATCATAAATCAGAACAAATTACAAGAATTTTTTTCCTTGTATTTAAACTGTGTTCTGTGAATAATTTATTTCTATTCAAATACATGATATAGTTGAAATGTATCATTGGCCTACAAATAAGTTGCACGTACCTGTACTGACACTTCTGAATTAATTAAACTTGGCTTTTTGGTTATCTAGCTCTTTACATTAGGATTGACTAGCACACCCAAAGAATACTAAGAAAATTGAAGTATAGTATTAAGAACAGAAGTATAAGCATTAACACCTTGTCAGGCTTAATTTGGGAAAGACAGCATCTCATACATCTTGGATTCACTCATCATCTTCATCTTCGTCACCTCAACTCATCACATACACATATGCATGTTCTCTATTGAAAGAAGTGGCTTCTCTCGTATACCAATAGCTTCTAGGGAACTTAGAGCTACCTATTGAATAAAGAAACTATTATTATTTGCTATGTTAACAGGAAAAGGCTTTGGAGACAGCTCTTCTGAGTTCAGCAGCTAGCTGTGATACTTAATATGGTCTTGGAAAATTAACTTAAGCACTCAGAGTCTCTGTCTCTCTGGCTATGAAATGTAAATGAGTTCTACTACTTTGGGTGGTTGTTAGGATTAAACAAAAGCCTATGTGTGAAGCATTGAGTGCAGTGCCTGGCACGTAATAGGTACTGAATAATGTAGCTCATAGTATTATTCTTGCTACTATAAGCACATTGCAAAATCATTTGTCCAATTTTAAAGACAAGTTGAAATGTATCATTCTCTCACCTAGAGTGGAAGTAAGGCAAAAATGAGACCTTCTTGTGTGTGTGTGTTGCCTCAGTATATTAGTTTTCTTTCTGTATCCACTAAGTTAATTTCTAGTGATTTTCAATGACTATTGGACAGTGATGAGCACTGAGAAACATATGCCTTTCCATATACATGTTAGTAGTCAACATGCCTCATTTATTAGCGCATGGAAGGTATAGGTTATAAATAGGGTTCCCTACCTGCATCTAGCAAACTTCTCTGAAGAGTCTGACAGTTAATGTAGCTGAAGAAAACAAGAAGAGAGATGGATCTAACAGTCTTCATCATTTCAGATGAACATTTATAGAAAGTGTTCTATCATTTGAGAGAATTAATGAATCTTTTTATATTCTTTCCAATGAATTACTATTAATAATTAACCTTTTATTGGTGAATACTTTTTCCAGGCCACTATGACCCTCCAAAAGTTAAAGAAATTCATGAAAATGAAGAAATATTTTTGATAGATGGCATTCATTAACGAATACTGGATTGAGTGATGTCAATCTACTTGTCTTTTCAAGATTGCATCATGTCGGTCTTGCAATACAGTAATCGATAAACACTTTTTGGTAAATGTCTCAGTTCCTAGAAATGCCTGTTGACATGTACAAAGTTCTAAAATGGCAGAAGATCACGTAAACATGACTATTCGAGATTCAAATCAATGGTTAAGGGCCCCATTCCAGTGCTGGGCACATTTTCAAGTCCCTGGAGAGAGTGGGGAGCAAACCCAAGGGAACACGACCTAATTTACTGAGTGCTTACTGTGAGTCTGGTGATTATAGTTAGATAGAAATATTCTTATTTTTTGAATAAGAAATGAAGACTCAGGGTCATATAATTTGCTCACAGACTCACAGGTAGAAATTCAATTCTGTCTGATGTCAAAACCTACACCATCCAAGAGCTAGTATTAAAAGCTAAGGTCCCAACATTCCTCAGCTATTTTCCATTTCGCCTGTCATCCGCTTCTTGGGTCTAGGGCAGGAAACAGGTGATTACTAACTGAACAAAAAGTTTAAGATAAACATAAAGTCCAAAAGTTTTGGAAACAGGAGACCACTGGTTACTACTTTAATTGTCCCTGTCCTCAGCTTTCTCATTTACAGAGGGAGGGTTTGGACCAGATCATCTTTAAGGCTGATAGTCTATTGCTCGATTCTGCTCCCCACAAAGTCTCATTTCTGGTTTCCTGGGCAAAGATACATTTGCCTAAAGACAACAACAACAAATCTGTTATTATTTAGATTGAGGACATGGTGGCTTATGGTAAAGAATATAGATGGCCCTGTGTGATAGAAAGGCAGGCTCAGTAAAGGGAAGGCCATCTTTGGCAGGTTTTCATCATGCTTTTCAGGGTCGTCTAAACGGTCCTAATGCTCAGCATGTCTTCCTATCCTGCATCCTTAGAGCTGTCTCCTTGAGATTTTACTCTAAGCCTCCTGGAACTATCAGAAATGGACCTATTTCTCTAGGGATGGCAAATCCTTTGGGTGAATGCTGTTAGACTGTCACCCACTGCAGACATTATTAATTGATCACTGCACTCTTTCTCTCTGAACCTAGACTCAGCCTTAGAATCATTCACAGCACAATGCCACAGGACAGCCACTATTAACTGATTGGAGCTTGCACTTAAGAAGGAAAAAAAAACCTGTTATATGTGTGCTAAACTAATTCCTCTTTTTAAAAAGTCAGACAAAATTAACTTCTTATGGAACCTCTTCTCTCAGAGTAAGAGATTCTCAAAAACATAAGAAGATGTTAAGTCCTCTATTAATGATTAAGTATGGAATTTCAGACCAGAGGAAAGACAAGTCATAGGATTTTTTTAAGCAAAGGCAAGGGAATGGTTTTTGTGATAGAATTCAAAAGACAGCACAGAATTTGTTCTCTATGAGAGTATGCTGACCTTTAAGATCAAAAACGTATGGCATACAAGTCCAAGAAACAATGATGACTTTTTAAAAATACTGTTATCACAGCAAGCCTAATTATTGTCCAAGTCATAGAAACAGAGTTTGAAGGACCCTTAGAAAGACCAAGACTGGTTGCCTGGATCCCATCAAAAACCTGTGGCGACTGATCACGCATGTACAGTCTTGGCACTCATTATAGACCATTTACAAATATCCTTGCTACTAGAAAATTCTTCCTGCATCAAGTGAGTCAGGTATGTTCTATTTGTCGGTATGAGTTCTGAGTGACACAGAGTAAGTGGGACTTGCCCTTGTTCACAATCCTCTCAATGCAATGCAATACCAGGCAAAATCGGACTTTTGAATAAACCATCCCTCTTCCTCCTTTCCTCACTTCACACTGGTTACCTGCTTTTTCTCAGTGTGTTCTCTGGCTCGTCAGCAGAAAGAGCCATATGGCCATTTCCTCTGTGATAACAGAGATTGTGGTGGCCGCAGGTTCCCAGGTCTCTGGTTTCATGCCCGCTGCTCTGAGCACAGAATTGGACACAGAAGAATCCACTCGTAGGTACCAAACTCAATTAGCTAACAGTGCTCTGTTTTCTTTCTCTTTACTCAGCTTATTATCCTTTACTTAAGTAAAAGTTTCTTCCCTGTTACCCTCATTAATAAAAGAGAGTGTTTAGGAAAATGGTAAAAGGATAAAATAGCTTCATGAATTAAACTCCTATTACCTGCTGACCTTTGTATTGGGTACTTTACACACTAATTTAATACATTCTTTAAAGTCTTTATGAGATGGAGACTACACCTACACCAAGAAAAGGGGGTCTTAGATTGTAGGGAACTTGTGTCTGAGGCCATTCAGCAGGCTAATGGCAGTGGGAATATGAAGCCCCCACCTGTTTCCCACCCAGCATCTTGAGCTTAAATTGAGTGCCGGTGCCACGTGCACCCACAGCAGGGGTCTTTTTCCATCCTGCACCCATATGATTGCTTCTCCCTTGCCCATGGGACACAAGAACCATGTCTAGTTGGCTCACATCAGTATCTGCAATGTCTGACACACAGTAGGAATCTAATAAATATTTGTTGAATAAATGAATGAGAATCCCAAAGGCTATGCTGTAAATATTAAACCAAAAGAACTCTGAATATTTTCATATATTATCTATCAGACCATCATCATCTTCAATTTCAGATGTTGAAGTACTAAAAACCTTAAAGGTTTGAAGAAGGGTCAGGATGATCAGGCTACAAGCCGAAGACCAAGCTTCATGTCCTGGCTTCCCACATCTTAACCCTCCTTCTCCTTAGATGTCACCACCAAGCACTCACAGCCCCAGCGTAACAGCCACTGTGGTGTGAAATGGAGAAAGAAAAGAGTGGCCACTGATGCCTCGGGCACTTGTCCCTCTCTCTGAATAATGGATTACATGAGGCACACATCACGGCCCTCCCTAAGAGGTTGTGTATACACTGGCTAAGAATATCCTTCTGGAATTAGAGGACTCAAATTCAAACTTCGGTTCTACCAATTACTAGTTGTATGACATTGAACAGATTAGTTTATTTCCCCCAGCCTGATTCCCTGTTTGTAAAGTGGAAATAAAAGTGATGTTGACTTCACAGAGTTGGTAGGAGTCAATGAGATAATACCTGGGACAATGTTTGGTACACTGAAAACATCAGTGCCAGCTAGTAATAGCAGTAACAGTAGAGGACATGTCTCGTGCCATCAACTCCCATTTCCTTCCCAGAAGCAGCAAGAAGAGAATCTGGGAAGAGTCTGCCCACACAACTGCTATCTCAGAGTCCTGTCTTCCAAAAGGTAGCAGAGTAGACCTAGCCCACGAGCCAAAGGTGCTGATGGAGTGAATGACCCTTGACTGTTTAATTTTGATATCAAGTTGACACATGACAATCAGTCTTTGAGAAATAACTTTATAATGTTGTAGTTTATTGCTTGCTGCAATAATATGATTTCAGGTAAAGGTTTCAGAAGAATCCTTCCACTGTGCTCTTCTCAGAAAATGTAATTCACCACAGGACAGCTAGGAAACAGACAGGTTGGTCTTTCTCCCTTTTCTCCACATCCTGGGAAGAGAAAAATAGTATGTCATGCAGCAGAAGAATATGACATGCTATAACTTGGATGATGGGAAGTCATGTATATAAACAACTGTCCATGCTAACTATGTTCTGCCTTTTGTAGATCCAAACCTCCTCTCTGTGGGGGTCCAGGTCTCTCTTCCACGACACTGAACGTCATTGCTATATCTATACAAAGTTTTGCTCCCAAAGTTTGTAAATGAATCTTACATAAACTGCAAGGGAGAGGGCATCCCATATATATCTTTTTTCTTTTTTTTAATATATCTTTTTGAATCACAAATGTATCACTCTCCATTGATGTAAATGCTGCAGCAAGACTCTTAGCACAGATTTACTGAGGCCTGTCTGCCCATCCCAACCTCCTGCTCTTCCCTGTCAACATTCAGAGATTCGACTGCCTCTCCTTTCTGGTCCAGACACCTGAGCGCAACAGAAAAAGGTGGAGTGAGAGCCTTTGGCTACTGAGAAACTGCTGGAATAGTAAGGGAAATGCTGACACAAATGCAGCAGCACCACCCCATTAGGAGTAACTGAGACCCAGAGAAACATCACAGGACCAGTACCAGGGTCTGTTAGGTACAAGGCACGTGGGAGGAACCAGAGACAGACATGGAAGCCTGAGAGGGGAAAAGCTGGGTGACCAGATAAGCTGGCAATACCTTCATCAACTGATGAAGATAGAGGGTGTTACCTGTGATGGGTTTTACTTGATGTTTTTCAAGCAGCCTGGCTTTTGGCTGCCAATTTTGGACCCTTGAAAGAAAAAAAAAGGAAAGAAATAAAAACACACAGGAAGAAAAATTTAAGACATTACTATCTAAATTTAGAGAAGCATGTAGTCTCGAGCTTTGGGAAGTTAAGCCACTCCCACGTTATAGAAGAGACAGTGAACACTTCAAGCAAACTTGGGAACAGACACCCCCAGACTTTTACAAACTGCCAGTGAATCCGCCCCTCCCTCTCCACGGTCTCAATGCACACACTCACGCAGGTAAATGCTAGATATTGATTAATACCCTTTAATTAAATTAAGCACGATTTAAAAAAAAAATTCCCACAGACTAAAGACTCACTGGGAAAAGCAGAGGGCTCTCAACCAGAATGAATGCCGTGTGTGTGTGTGTGCGCGCCTGTGAGTGTGCACGAAGCATATGACTGTGAATAAAGACGTGTGTGCACCAATCGTGAGTCTGGAGGGGAGTGGGTGTGGCTAAGAAAGAAAGAGTGAGAAAGACCCTTCCAAGGAGCCGTCTCCGGGGCGCACATTCACAGGCGCTGGAGGATCCGGGAGCGAGCCGGCGGACCCCATCACCCGATTGAGACCGGTCAAGGAACATGTCTCCTCGCTCCTCCTCTGCCACCCTCCCCTCACACCTCCTCACCTCACACACAGGCCATTCTCTACTGAGGGATGTTGGGACAAAGCCAGGGGAGGCGACGCAGCCACCCCAATGTCCTTCCTGCTCCCTCCCTTTGGAGCTGATATGATAGGTCAGTTGAACTACATATTTTAAAAAAATGAGTGGTAATATTCAAGGATAATTCTTTCCATCCTCATTTACAGATGATGGACTGCAGTTCAGATTAAGTTACATGACCAAGACCGCCGGCATAAGAACCCGTGTTTTCCTTACATCTTTTCCTTGACCATGTTGCTGCCAGGGAACCAGGGCCCCCGCCCTGTCAGAGAGATGTCTGCCTGTGATTGTGCGGTGACTGTGCTCTGGAACCTCCCCAGCCCGGCAGATGGGGCTGGGAGGAAGCAGCGTCCTACGGGGAGTTCTGCTTCCTTCTGTGTGCCCAGCAATGCCAGTGGAATCTCAGGGGGAAAGAACTAGACGTACCTCTTCACTGAAGCAGGCTGCGGGGCCCTCGGCCTTGCAGCACGTGGCCACCACCTTAGTGAAATCAGTCAGCAGTGACTGCAGCTTGTCCTCTCTAAGTTCAGGCTTCCATTTCACTAAGTTGACCAGAAACCTGTGACCCAACAATGTCAAATAGAATTAATTCATGATTTCTTTCTAAAGTCCTCCTTCTCCAAAAGGCTGGCTATATAGAATCACATGTCTTAGGAATCTCCTTTTGGGTGAATGTCTAAAGTTAAAATATTCCACATTTGAAAGGATTTCCTGAATTTGGTTAAACTTATGGGATGGATTCCATGGGGACATTCTTTGGAGGATTTTGTAAGCATGTATAAAATTGTATTAAAAAAATTTAACATATAGTGAGTTGTCATTTTGCACAGTAGTGTAGAATATGTGACTACATTTGATCTTTCTAGATAATTGACTCCCAAAACAACCTCCATTTCCCCTTCTTCAGTAAGCAAATACTGTTTCCAGTCCACTTGTATAGACACTGCTTAAATTGAAGAAAAAAAAAAAAGAAAGGAAATATAATAAAATAATAATATATATATATATATATATATTACGTAAACGAAACGAAAACGAAAACG